GCAGTGATCGCCTACCTGAGGTTCTCCATTGGCTTTGGTCTTCACTACACGATTGAGGTGCCGAAGGACTCCGATCCTGATTTACAACGATCCCGTCCAAGACATGCTGGCACTGTTGAGGTGTTGGTTGATGCCTCGTTCTCACCAGGAGACAGCCATAGCATCTCGGGCACCATCATTCTCTTTGCGGGGTGTCCGGTGCAGTGGGAAAGCAGGAAGCAATCTTTGATGGCTTTATCAACGGCGGAGGCGGAGCTCACGGCATTGGTTGAGGGCCTACAGACAGGAAGGTCCGTCCAAGCTCTGATCAAGTTGCTGGTCCCCAGTGTCGACATCGAGCTGTACAACGACAATCGTGCAGCGGTGGTGCTGGCGTCAGGATCCGGAGGCGGCTGGAGGACACGCCATCTACGAATCCGGGCTCGATGCATTGCTGAAGCTTTGGCACGTGGGGAGGCAACTTTGAGCCACAGATGTGGTTCCCTCTTGTGGGCAGATGCTTTGACGAAGCCGCTCCCAACGCAGTCATTGAACAGATTCTGTGAGGGCGTTTGGCTGGGCTGTTCATCCATGAAGGCAGATGATCAGGGGGGACCTTGTGAAGTACATGTCCTTGGATCGGCGACCAATGTAAAAGTGTTGAAGTCGATTTCGCTGTTGGCCGTGGGTGCTGCCTTGCTTCCGACTACGCAGGCTGCGGAGACTTGTGAGATAAAGGAGACCAGGGGGGAAGATGCTGCTAGTTCCTGGGCAGACCAAGGATGGGTGTTGCTGCTAGCGGGGCTCGTGTGCCTTCTGCACATCATCAAGGACGTAGGCTGGGAGATGGCAAAGCGTCTTTGTGGTCGAAAGGATCAGTTGAAAGTCAAGCTGCTGAGTGAGCAAGCCTCACTTCCTTCGAGGATGTCGACTAATGCCGCTGGCTGGGATGTGTCTGCTGCGTCCTCGGTCGAGATTGCTCCAGGTGATCGAAAGCTCATCCCGTTGGGTCTGGCGTTTGAGATGCCGGATGGTTGCTATGGGAGACTTGCACCAAGGAGTTCATTGGCTTTGAGGGGGGTGGATGTTGCCGGTGGCGTGATCGACTCCGACTACCGGGGAGAAGTGAAGGTCATTGTGGTCAATAATGGTCCAGAGGTGCTCAAGATTGATCAGGGTGATCGAATTGCCCAGCTCGTCTTGGAGAAGTATGCCAAGGTTGACCTCTCAGCCACGAGTTCGTTGACATGGACCCAGCGTGGAGAGAGTGGCTTCGGAAGCTCTGGATTAGCCGTGAGGCGTCTGTCTGGAGCTCAGAGTGAATCCTCAGGTCAAGTGGCATCAGACACCTATGACGGCGGTGAAGGGCAAAGGGAGACTCCCAATGATGGTGAACCGACCCACGTGTTCTTCGACGGTGTCTTTTTCGCTGAAGCTGGTGAGTCAATGGTGGATTTCGTCCAGAGGTTAAAGCGAAATGAGCTGTATGATTTTCGTTGGATGTTCCCGGAAGTTCTTTTTGAGCATTTTCATCCTGATCGTCTCCATGGGTCTTCGAGGACCTATCTCCAGCAGGTGGGACAGGGCACGATGCGCTTCCAGATCCATAAACATCCCCAGTGGAGGAAGAAACTCTACGACTCGGAAGTGTCAGCCCCAACACCGGAGAGTGGAATCACGGCTGGAGTGGTGTCCTTGGGATGGAGAGAAGATGGAGTGATGTTCGCAAGAGTGGACAACCGAAGGGGCAGCAGATCCATGTGCTACCTCAAGCAGCCTTGGAAGGGGGTGAGCCTCTTCTACTCGTGGGACAAGCCGTCCAGGAGAACCTGAAAAGAAGCCAGGAGAATGCGGAGGGCATGGGTGACTTGCTGAGAGGGCCTTGTTTTTTGTTTGATAGTTGGTGACTTTTCGTGCGGTCACGTTCATTCGAAGGGGAATGTTCATTTGGCTGTGTATGCTGGTGAATTTTGGTTTGAAGCCACCTTGGCCTAGCGTCACGCATTTGGACCCAAAGCAAAGGGCTTGAGTCTGGCTTTCTTTTGAAGAAGTGGTTCGCGCCTATAGCCTGAGAATGTCAGGAGGGGGGAGCATCGCGACCACATGTGTTTGCAGTTGGCTGTTCATGAAGGTTGAACACGCTTGAAACCTTACCTTTCATGGAGCCCTTTTGTGCTTAGAAGAAAGAAGAGCGATTTTGCTTGAGTAGTAACGACATGGCTACAGTGGATGTTTGAAGTTTGTTTGTCGAAGCTATGGGGGCACATTGGTTTTTGAGGTCAAAAGCTTGATCGTGCTTGGTCTGGCACACCGGCTCTTGAGCTACAACTGTGCGCACCCTGTTGGTACCATAATCAATGGACCTATTTTCGCGTAGGCCCCGCGTAGGCGCTCGCGGAAGCAGCGCGTAGGCAAGAAGCTATTGGCTGCTGCTACTGCTTGGCTGCTGCTTTTGCTGCTGCTTTTGCTGCTGCTTGGCTGCTGCTGCTGCTGCTGCTGCTGCCACTTGTTTTCTGCTTGTTGTGCGCTGTTTATGTGCTGCTGCTTCCACACTGTAATTGGATCGGCTTGATACAAAATCTATCTGGCCATCGGTAGCAAAGCTGTAAACGCCTTGTAAACAGGAACCTGCTGTGACCCGGTCGCATCGGGCCACTACTTGCGGATTATATAGCTCTTTTCGAGTCACCTGATGTGACTAAAGTTGGTGACAGCACCCTGCGTAGGCATCCCGCGTAGGCACCTAACAAAGAGAACCTCTCGCGTAGGCATTTGCTTGAGAGGGGAGCCCAGGCGTAGGCACCCGCGTAGGTACAGACCCAGTGTATAAGCCCCACACCACAAAAAAAAACACAACTCACGTGGCCCCGAGGCGTGAACAGGCCAAGCTGCGAGCTGCCAGAGCTGCGAATTTCCAGCAGCGACGCAACAAGTGGGCAGCGCAGCATCGTGGCAAGCTTGGGTACATGAGAGTTTTCATAAGATTTCTCAGGATAGATCATATATCGATCTATCATGATCTGTCCTTTTCCTACAACTTTTGAGGTGCACATATTTCCGGAGTCAGCTACGACATGCAGGCCTTGAAATGTTGTTCGATTTCTGTGAGGGTTCTTGTTTTATTCAAAGGTTAAAGAAGACATTCAAAGATTTCAACATTTTTGTTTGCATTTTAGATATTTTTTTTAATGTTTTGTCAAGGTTGAAGCTTTGGAGCTTCGCCGGTGGCTGCGGCTGCTGCAGCAGTCAAGGCTACAAGAAGCGCGGCCGGTCCGATCAGAGAGGCCGAAAGAAGAGTGGCTCGGTGATGTGAAGAAATTTCAAGCCGTTCAGGAAACATTCAGGTTAGTTCACAGATGTTCACATTCGTTCACAAGTTGTCACAAGTTGCTCACGCTGTTTGATCACACGATTTGCTTGTCGTGTGTCGTTCTTTGCTTCGTGATGTATTCATGTGACATTTGTGCTAGTCATCAATGGAACTTTGACTCAATTTGGGGTTCACCTATCCTCATGCCAATTTCCACTACCACACGCCACACGCGGGAGCCTTGAAACCACAACAAAGCAGAAAGAAAGCCATGATCATTACGTATCTTGTTGGGGGTGTCCTCATATTACCTGTAGCCTGTAACAGCCAGTAAACAATTATCACTGTTTTGGAGAAAGGCTTTACTCACCATCATCATCCACTGTTACAGGGATTGGGATACACCCCACAGTTTAATGAAGTGCTGGGCTTTTGCACCACTGAGCTTCCTGGAATTCATTTAGTAGTCGAGTAGTGGTGTGTCCGATCGATGTTCTCGGATGTCTTGGACCCGGGAAATCCGCAGTCAAGTTTTTGGCGTGGCAGAAGAGGTTGGCCCACCGAAACTAGTTAGAAGAGGTTGGCAGCAATGTGTACGCAATCGATGGTTTGACCTTTTCAATGCCTGTTCATGCTTTGATACTGTGTTACCTTGGTGCATTTTGCGGCCCTTGTACCTTTGCTCAGTGGTGCCAAGGCCGCCGCCTAAGAAGGCTCGTGTACTGCAAGGGCGTGCAAGTTCGCGGCGTTAAAGCAAGGTGCCCATTGAAGTTTTTGCGAAGCTGTGCCCAAGTCTTGAAGTGCAATGATTTTTCTTTTTTGACTTCCTTGCCAATTTGTTTTGCATCGAGCAATCTCTTGATCAGCTTGGATGCAACGGGTGATGAGTCACGCACTGTCTTCTGCCTACTGGTCCTGTCGTCCGACGTAGGCCCGATCTGGACCCCAATCTCGAGAATTGCAGCGCTTACAGCGATACCATCTGACCAAACGCAGCTTCTTACAACCAAACCGGAAGCCCTCGCTCAAAGAGCGAGATGAAGCCACAGGGGCTCTTGGCGGTCCCGTGTTGCATCGTGATGCAGTGGAAAACATTTACTTGAGTTGACCTGTGCATGATTGTCATTGCACAATCATGCCTTGCCTTGGGGTCTTGTTTCTGTGGACAAAAACGATTTGATGTGATACCCACCACCGAGAAAGATACTCATCGCATTATGCTGTTGACGTTTGTTGACATGTCTTTTCTTTCTTGATTGGGAAAGATCATTAGCCCCTTGTGTTGGGCTACAGGAGGCTTGAGTGATCTAAATCTATATAATCCAACTGAAGCCACGATGAGGAACGCTTTGAGATGCAAGGGTATTGTCCAGCCCAGGTCAACGTACGAGGCTGTCCCAGACAAGCACGCACAACCATCTTTGGATATCCAACCAGAGGAAGCGGTTTTGATGGATTGAACTTTCTTTGTTCCATTGACAGTCTTCCAGTTGAAATGCAACTTATTGAGTTCATTCTTACTTCTCGTGAGGAGGTAGCGCCGAAAGCTCGCCCGCCTGAGAGTTAGAAGGTTTGAGATTGGAGGTATTGGAGACCAGATCCCCCCTAATAAAGGTGATGACCTGATGATGGATGATGGTTTCGTGAACGCTGAGCTTGAAAACCTTAAGATTTTGATAGAGTGTTAATAGGGGACAATGAAATAATTTTCTGGAGAGGTTTTTTGGGATTGTGGAACAAAGATTGCTTGGCAAAACATCGGCAGCTTAGATTGCAGCTTCAAGCAACATACTAATGAACTATTTACTGTATTACCTTCTGTGGGCAGATGGTCTTTTTGGTGGATGCTTTTCCACTGAGGCCAGATGCCGAAGATCCGGGCCCAGAGCAAGCTGTGCTCCCCAACGAAGCGTCACAGTTCAGCTCTTTGGAGCCACATGAAGATCATGGAGCGGCCCCAGCATCTCCAGAGACTCCATCTCCGTCCTCTCCCGTCTTTGCTGTCATTGAGGTGCGATACTTACTTGTCCCCGGATACTTCAGCTCTCCACTTCTTTTCTTTCTCCATCTCCAGTCATTTTGTCTTGCTGACAGGACTCGCCAAAACGGAGACCTGGACCCACTATGTCGCTTGGACGATATATAGATGATATAGTCAGGTGGATTATGGTAGATTCAGGTATATGATTATTACAATCCAGCTGCACACGTAGAAAGAGTCTCAGAGGCTCGAAAGTGGTTGTCTTGAGTTTTCTTTTTTAAAGTTATATAGTAAGTTTGATTGAAAGGGCTCCATTAAATGGCGAGAGGCCGAAGGCTTTTGTACATGTTCGCAGTATTTCGCAGGCCTCAGGCAATCTGAGTTGATGTCTTGGTTCGCCTAGGTCGGACGACTGCAGCTGGTATGTGCTAGGCGGAGTGCAATCATCAAAGATTCAACTAATAGGTCAAACAATGCCAACATCTTAAACATACTGGTTAAAACAGTTGCTATCATTTCCGATCCTTGCTGGATTAGCACCAGTTGACCACACCTTCACAGCGTTGTTGGCCACAAAACCCAGCGCAATAATCACATTCAGTTCAATCCCCATGACGAAACTTGATTTGTGGACTCAGACTTGGTCTACGGCTTTATGACGTGCTTGACAGGAGGAGAGGAGCCACCTCTTCGGGCTTCTGACGGAGTTTCTTGGCACCAGAGAGCCCGAGCTGGGCCAAGTGCCACTAGGCTCTGCGTGTCAATTGGCACTTGTCCTACTTGTGGTGTTGCCCAGCCCGGCATTTGTGTGCGACATTTGTTGAATATGATGAGCACTTGTTCTGTTGTTTGCCCATCAAGGCACTTCTGCTGGCCGAAACCCGCTTGCGGCCATGAGCTCCAGCTGCGCTTTTTCACCTTTTGAAATCACGCCCTCCCTGGTGTTTACTTGCGCATCAGATTGTGTCGAGGATACACCACCCCATAGCAGCATGCCATAGCCACAGCTGAAGAAATCCTGGTTGTTCCTTTCTTTTGAGGCAAGGACAACGCAAATTGGTGGCATTGTGTTTGACAGCTTGGAGAGAAGGCTCCTGTTTGCATCTTTACCATTTACATCGGCAACATTCAGCCCTTTGGACCATCACCATCCCCGGTGCAGATCTCATTTTGGAAACATTGCTAGACATTGTTCATTGTTTGTCAAGTCAATGTGGTTGACTTGCCAACATGCAGGCCTTGGCTTTGCTACATGCACTTCCTTATGGGAAGATGACGAGGCGCGTTTCTTGGAGCGAGTGCAACCAATACCTCAGCTCTAGCTAGTCAGGAAGACATGCAACGCTGGCACTTGCGTGGCCTTGCCACAAGCTCAGCAACAGTTGCCATAGTTGCCAACATGTATACTTAGTCAAAGACGAGGGCCTGAACATGAGGAGCTGCGGCTGGAAGAGAGCCAAAGCCTACGTGAGAAGGACCTTTCCCTCCCTTTTTTATATTTGCTCTCCAAGAGCATATGAGTCTGCAAGCAGCAAAATCTTTTGGGTCGGGCTCTTCAGGAGCAGAAAGAAAGTGCCAAGGCAGAAGCGACCCTCAAGGCATCTTCTTCATGTCACACAAATATTCTTGTCACTTTATAGTCAATATAAGTTTCCCTAAACATCTGGAAACCAAATTAGTGCGAGCGCTTCTTCAAGGAATCTCCCCCCCGCTCGAGCTTCCTTGAAGAAGTGTGAGCTATCCTGCGTCCTACCTAGGAGCGTCCTGTACCTACTAGCTACCTCAGTTTCTTAATTAAGTAGGCGCCTACTGACTGGGGGGGGGAGCCCAAAAAAGAACAAGTGCTGCTCATCGTGGCATTGTCGGCTTTGAAGGAGCGCCTGAACAGTGAGTTCCAAGCAGAGCTTCAGTCCCAGGCCCGTTGGATCCGGTCTCATTGTGCTCACACGTCTTCGAGAACCGCCGGGGGATGCCGGCGGATGAAACTGCCATGTGTCAGTCCTGGTAGCTGATTTGGCTCGAGCCTGATCTACTGTACAAACCATGACTGGACTTAACATAGCCACGGCATGCCACGGCAACATAAACCATCCAATAGCTACCTACCACCGCTCATGACTCATGACTCATGTTTTTTCAACCACACAGATGTCACAGAAAGGAAAACATCATCGCAGAATAGATGTTTCTGGATGACGCCCGCACCTAGCAACATGCACTCTTTTTTGGGGTTTGCCAAAGCCATTTCCAAAGAGTTGTCATGTCCAAAACCATGTGATCTGTTGGTGTTTCCCCGACAAACTCTTGTGAGATCTGTTGATAGGTTTCCAGAGCCTTTTAGTCGTCCATGTCCGACAGCAGCAGAGAGGAGATTTGTGCTTGACTCAGCCTTCACGGGCTTTGTGCAGAGTTTGCTTTGAGCTTGCAGGGAAGTGCTGGTGTGTGTAGGTGTCTCTTCTGAGCAACCTGATGGATTCATTTTGGATCACAAGGGACAAACAGTTCAACGACCTTTCTGCACTGTAGTGATTTCAAGAACGAGGTGCACAGCTGCGGCAAGCGCTCGAGCTGCGGCAAAAGTATTGTGATGCGCCCAAGAAGCAGCTGGGCTCTCAGTGAGAAATGCAGAGAACACTTAGGAAAATTACACAAACACTTCTTTCTTTGTCAAAGACATATGAGGAGTGATCCCGGAGCATGACACAAGAACAAACTGCTTTTAAACGACATGTTCACCTGCTGTGCAATTGTTTGTCCCGGGACTTTTGCGCAGATTGTTCACGTAGCTGTTCCATTTCAGATCCAGGACATACTTTCCTGACACTGCCAAAGTGGAACTGTGCTGGAAAGATGGCCTCATGCAAGTACGATGCTTGATTGAAGCTGTGCGAAGCAGCGAGACTGAGACTGCTTTGGTAACTAAAGGGATCGATTCCCAGGAGGTCAATCTATCATAGACCCTTGTTTTTAGCCCGCTCCTAATTCAATAAGTAGGCGCCTACTTGATTGAGTAAGGGAGTAAGCTCCTAGCTACTTCAGCTGCTAGCTCATGCTAATAATTTGGTTCCTAGGATTTTTGGAAACTGTGCAGAGTGGGACATCTATCAATGCTTTTGTTTGGACTTCGAGCTGGCAAACATCACAGGCAGACAGCTATTGTGTTAGTGCACATAATTGATGTAGGTCCAAAATGGCTGCTAGAACATTGGAACAGTTTAAGCTTTAAACTTTAAGGTCGCCGTGACTGATGCTGCAGATGCATAGAGTCTAATAGAGTGAGGGCTGACATATTGTAGGGGTTTTGCCAAAGAAAACTATTCTTTCTTGAACGGAGCAATCATCAGCGTAGACATGGGGTGGCAAGCGGTCACTGCTCATCCGTTGGCAAGAAAATGCCCAATGAAGCTCTTTATTTTTGTGACTCCTCCTAATCAGCTTTGCGCATCAGGGGCCAGACTTTAAGCATTGACATAGTCTCTCTGCTCCTGCCTGATGGTCGGATTGCCGAGGAGAGAAAGGAACTGACACGTCACTATTCCACGTGCCAGCCTTGGATGAATATTATGATGATATGTCTCCTGGCTGGGATGTTCTGGTGGATGCATAGAGGAAATAACAAACGGGAATTATTGATCTGATGATCTATTCATTGAATCCAAGGAATACTCTTTTTCATATTCGGTCCTCTGGACCAGTCTCCAGCTATGCCTACCAAAGACTGCGGTTGTTGCAGACAAAGTTCGAGCTGTACACAATGGACCTTGGTACGCATTTGCATTTGCTGTTTCACAAATTCAGCATTAGGCTTTTTCTTGGTCACAACTTGCAGCATAAGTTCGTTGACTCCAAAGGTCTTTGGAGATCAAGAAGCACAGGATGCTATGGATACTGGCCATCGTGCCCCCCTCCTGCAATGGCCGATCGTGACAAAGATCGTGTGCTTATTTCCCAGTAGTTGCCAGTTGCCAGTGGCTTTTGCTTAATTTATCTCGGAAGTGTTTTCCTTTCCTGATTATTTAGAACATATAATGAGTTGGCATGTTGATTCATATTGCTCATTTCACTCGAAGGGGAGCTCCAGGGTTGCAAAGTGACTTTTAACGAAAGAGCAAGAGGACTCTTAGGCCAGACTCAACGATGCTTGAGGCATCTCCGAAGGCATGTCCTGTTAAAATTTAAACGTGCCTTATTCTTGTTCAACACCCAAAGCAATCAAGGACTTCTACAATGTGCGGAAAGTGGACACGCACATCCACCATTCAGCAGCCAGCCGGACTGCACACAAGCAGATTTCCCATGCTTTTGCTTGAACTGTCGAAGGGCTTCCTGTGTACATCTGTGTACTATTGCTTCCTTGGTGAGGCGATGAACGCAAAGCATTTGCTTCGCTTCATGAAGAAGAAGCTGAAGCGCTTCTCTGAAGACATTGTTGACGCATCTCGGAAGAGAAGGGTGGGTTTTGAAACCCACAGTGCATGCGATCACTGTATGCGATATAACTGTATGTTGTCAGCTTCCACTTTGCAAGCTGCGACAGACCATGACGAACTATGTCTCCTTTACGAATTTGACTGATATGCTATGATATGTCACACGATGCCTCTTTGGGGGACCTGAAAGGGGCTCCAACTATAAACATACTGTGTTGGAACATGGCCCTCAACTGCCCCGTGGCCGTTTGCGTGACTGAATTCGGCTCTCGACTCTGGACTCGTGGCCCCTTAGGAGAAGGATGGATGCAAGCGGACGCTGAAACGGGTTTTCGATGAAGCACGTCCGCGATCGATCCAGTTTGGACAATTTTGAGCAACCAAAAACAGAAGATGGGACTTACAGCACGCGGGAAAAAGCCTGCCATGTGTATTTTGATGGTGTTCAATGATAGCATCAAGCCTGCCTTTATTTGGAGCCAAGGATGCAGGCATTGCCTGGACAGATCTTTGTATAGACCGGCTGCAAGTTTGGGCCGATAAGAGCTGTTTACATCGCTTCGATCGCTTCAATAACAAGCATCTGGGATGGCAATGCCAAATGCTCAGATGTGGGACAAAGCCCAATCAATCCGTTGACACGATCTACATCTGATACTTTTTTGACATTGAATCGACACATTCAGAGTGTGATTAAGCGACAAGATAATAGCTTTGGGCAGATTTGGATGCATTTGCAATTGCCTGGGTTCGCTCTTTGCCCCATGCATGTTTTCCTTCCCTTTGATGGTGATTCTAAGCAAAGGAACACTTCCTGTGTAACGCAGACTTGCCCTAGGTATTCACCGATGGGGCAGAATGAGCTGCGCGCCATTTTTTTGAAGACAGCCGCCTGGAAGTCTGGGCTCGCGGGCCTGTGTTTACTCTTGGAGTGGAGGGAACGCTAGAAAGTCACTGGCCTTTTTGCTCTTGGAGTTTGCAAGCATCTTGCGTGGGCCACAACATGGCGAGTTGATGCGGTGTTTTTCAGAGTTCCATTCAGCTCAGGACAATGCGATGGGTGGGAGATATTTAGCGGAACTCTCAAGAGAAGCTCGGCTCAGATGCGTTTGGGCTTTGGACATTTGTAAGAGCCATTAACGGTGGGAACCCTGGGCTTGCCACTTGCTGATCTCCGAACGAGGAGTTGATCTCCGACTTAGAGGAGTCCAAATATCAGCATGCCGAGTGGCGACTTTCCATCTACGGACGTAGCGTGTCTGAGTCAATACACACTGTCGAACGATTTGCTGTAGTGCAAGCCACCGCAGACTGAATTCTAGGCAAGAACGTTCCTTTCGAAGGACATGTATTTTGTCCTGGAGTTTTTAATTTATCTCTTTGAGCTCCTAGATCACACAAGTTTGGTTTTCTTTCACAGTCATTCTTCGCTTTGCATCATTGCACCATGCTTCTGAGGCAAGAAGTCGGAATGGGAGAGTCTCAGCAAGTGGGTTCTTGGACGTGGATCCAAAGGCCATCATGGTCATGATGTCCATGTCTGTGTTGCTCTTATCTATCTATCTATCTACCTATCTATCTATCTACCTACCTACCTATCTATCTATCTATCTATCTAATGTGTATCTATGTTATATTATCAATATCATTCTATCAGTCTATAACATATCATGGTGTTTGACATGTATGATAGATATAGAATGATAGATAATCCATATTTATCCATATCATTCTAGATATCGATATTCTTATCTGATAAATAGCAATTCTCTCTCTCTATATATTATATTTATCTATAATATTTATTTGTTTTTAATCTCGTTTGGGATTGAGACATGGAGACTCATCAGACTCTGAGTATCTCTGAACACGACAGGCGACGGCAAACCTCTGCTGTCGCCCAACATCCGGTGGATGATTCAGATCCCACGGCTGTTTGCCTTGTAACATAGCAGCAACTGCAAGCATGTTACTAGGGGCTCCTGGCCTTACTACTACTAGGGCAGCAGCTGCATGGTTCTTCAGACAGAGAATGTGCCACGACGTCATCATACATCATCCCTAACCAGACCAAGAGAGAACTGTCAAACCCGATTGATTGCTTCTCACGCGCTCTTGCCACCTTGAGCTTGCATGAGGTACAAAACCACTGGCCAGCTCAACCATTTCGGTGAGATGCTTGAAAATATTTTCACACCTCTTTTTGACCTGGACTTAGCATTTGTGGTTTTTGAAGTGTTGACAGTAGTCTCCCAGACTTGCCTAACGACTGTAAGGAAGCTACACTTTTCCCAGAGAAGTTCTCAGACATCGCGGAGTTTCTCGAACACATCAGCGGCCGCAGCCTCACTGGGCACAGTCTTCTTGCACGATTATATACTCGATCATGATATTGTTTGGCTGAGTTCCAGGCTTCGACACAGTGGATGATGAGAGCAAGTCGGAAAAGCCTGTCGACCGGACCTTTTCCTCCAAGAACTTAGCGC